AGAGAGATTTGTGGGGAGAATGTGGCAATGCAAAGTAAGAGCCATAACTGAATGCAAAAATCAGGCAAATGGTAATAAAAATTAAAAATGCCGAGAGTGGAAAGCTGTTGCCATTGCTGTTGCTTTTGCCTGCCGTCGTCTGCCGCTTCCCGTTTGCCGTTTGTGTGTGTAACTAACGGATAAGCCTTGGAAAATTGACGCTGACAAGGCTTGGCCAAAGTGGCCAACGTTGCGTATGCTTAATCTGCCTATTTACATCGTGCCCCTCCGTTCGTTCCTCTTCTTTTCTTCATTTTTTTTCTCGTGTGCGTGCAACTGTTGCCATGCTGTGACTATCATTAATTTTTCATACTCATAATCATCATCTAGTCAGCGCCGCGCTGAGTTTCCTCTTATTTTTCGGTGTCAAAATGTTGTTTCTTCTTTCACATTTTTCACGCGATTTATGCACATTCTGCCCTGGCCAGTTCCTTTCTCGCCTCGAAACCCATTTAGTTTCCATCTCCTGGACTTGCCAGCCCCTTGTTATCTGCCGTCGAATGTTTTACATGCAACATATTCTCTAAAATGGGTAGCCGCAAATTTGGGAAGACTCCTTTTTTGGCCGGGTGTTGATATTTTGATAAATGCCCCAAGGAAGATGTAAGATGGGATTCAGACGTTAGTCTGTTCGCTCTTACATGAAACAAAGTTTTTACCATTAAAAGGATTTTAAAAGTAATTTATTCAAAAGGGAAAATTCACTTTGTTTACCAAAAAGTTAAATGAAATGCTTATGAGTCATTTAACCTACCTTAAAAATTAACTTCATAGACAAAAATTCTAATTCAATATGTGAGCTTAACTAATAGTCAAAATTGCTTGTATCTGAAAAGCAGTAAAATATGTTAATGAAAAGATGCATTTCCATTTTCATGTTTTGAAAATATTTTGTAAAATAATACTCCTATGTGCCAATTTCCATTGTAAGTGGCAGCAAACACGTTTTTACACATGTAAATAAATGGCTAGGTGGAATGTGCTAAAAGTGCGGCAATAAAATCGCAAGGCGGAGGGGAGTCAAGCCCAAGTCTGGACCGATTCGTCGTTGAGTCGAACAAAATCGTTAAATTAGTAGAAAATAGTGTGAAAAACGACGCACACTCATGTGGAAGAGGAGGGGAGTGGAATCTGTTAGGCAAAATAAACTTTAAATGGCAATGGGATGGATTTCGGACGGCTGAATGCTTGAATGCTTGTACTACACAACCGAAGACAGTTTAATTACGGCGTGAAGTTGCGCACCGAGTCCGTTGTTTAAACCTCTTGGGCTCTCAGCCCCTCAAAAAACAAAAAAAGAAACAATACACTAACCCTCCATTGGATGGATAGGTTCCATACGGTTTTCTGCGATTTGTTTTCCGCACTTCGAGATGAGGTTTTAATGCAAGCGTGAATCATAAAACGCTCACTTGATGTGTTGGTGTCACTTCGGTTACTAACTTCGGCTTTTGGGCGAGTCTTCAAAGCCTAAAGCCCAAATCCGTAAGTTTGAGTGGGTGCCTAAATAATAATCTATTGCGAATTTCGCCCAAGATAATATTTGCTTTGTCTTTGCTCTGTGGGTCAAAGGTCAAGTGCTTGAGAAATGGTTTTTGGGTCAAGCTTAGAAGTGGAGTTGCTGAACTGTTGCATTAGATGTACTTAGTTTAATTCAATTTTCCCGTTCTACATTTTTAAGTGCCGCATACAAAGCGTTAAAAGTTCAGCAACTTAGTTAAACCCCTTCTTGACATTTTGCAGAAAGTTGTAAGTAATAAATAACCCAAGAAAAAACGTAAAATCTTTATGATGATAACCATCGATCGATTAATTATCCTACTTGACTGATCAAGAATCTTTCCCAAACATTTTGTAAAGAAAAAGAAATCAATATAAGCACGATGACTGAATATCAAACCAAGGAATTCAAATTGTCAGATGGCCATTAATTCTGCAATGACTAATTACTTTGAGTTACGACAAGCCAGGCAACTTTTTATGACCTTAACAAGATGGCCAGCATTCAAATGAAACTCCTTTTGAACTCCCATCAGGACCTCATGCCGTTTACACGACCATTAAAGCCAAGCTCGACTGGCCAAATGATCAAATGTCCGCTTGGCTAATAAATTAATTGCGGACGCGGGCAGAAAATACCCAGCTCATTAGATAGACTCCCAGCGATAAGGAGAAGTTGGAGCCCAGTTGATCGCTTTATTCAAGTTGGTTGGCGCGTGCCGATTGTATATTTTCCAATCTTGGCTCCTTCGCTGCCATCGATAACTCCGCAGTTAACGAACTCAAGCGGTGGTCTGACCAAGAGCCATTTAATAAAGTCAGCATTTGTATAATGTCTTGTCAAAAATTTATTGGCATTTTTGCCAATATTTTGTCGGTTCAATCTACCAATCTTCCCGGCCTCCTGCTCTCCGCATTGATCTGTTCCGCGATGGCGATGGTGATTTCGAATGTGATTGGGATCTCTGGCATGCTAACCGAATGCCTTGAATGGAGTGGACTCCAGTTGGTTCGATGGTTGGTAGTTTAGTTGCTTGGTGGTGCTCCTTGTGGAGTCTCTCTTTTCAAAGGGGGTGTGGGCAATTAAAACACCCATACCCGAGAGATCCCTGGCTGTCTGTTTAGGCCTGTGATGTTCGGCAATCGGGCGCAGGATTAAAGCTGAAAAGTTTTCACCTTTTGTCTCATTCCGAATTGATTAAATTATGCAAATGCTGGCGGTTCGCTCGCGAACAAAAATCGCAACTGTGACAAAAGGCGTTGCCATGCACGCTCGCCTGCATTTCCCTGTGGTTCCCACACCCCCAAATCAGACGAGACCCGGCCAAAAAAAAAAACAAGCAAAGCAAACCTCGAACCAAACCTCAAAAATGAATTTCAGTTTCCTAATTTCCATCAAACGGCGCTTTTTGGTTTTCGGCTTTTGCCATGGCGAAAAAAGATTCTCATGTTGTCTTTGACTCGATGTCGTCTTGCTCGTCGACGTCCTCGTCTTGTAGTCATCGTCATCGTCATCCAAATCCACATCCACATCGTCATCGTCATAGTCATTGGGTATACTTTGCTGTTTTTTGTCGGCGGCGTCGGCGGATTTTCAATTTCTAATGTAGTGCACGTTACGCCCTGAAGGGATTTTTATTTTATACCATTTTTTTCCTGGCTTTACGGGTTATTTATTTATGCTAGCGTTGCTGGGCTCCGAATGCACAGTGGGTTTTGAATTAGCTACGAAGTGGGTTGCTATTGATTAGCATGGCTTGTAAATGTTAAAATGGTTAGGCTTATACAGTAACTGCAAGCTGTTTTGTAAAGGTCCTAATGTTAATTTCCAATTGTCCAGTCTTTATTTGTAAAACAATTTTTTATGGTGGACAAAAAATGAGGAGCTTCAGATGGATAAGATTTGTAATGGCCCTTCTATCAAGTAAAAAAAAGGCTAGTTGACAACTGAAAACCCTATGATAAAATTTTGTCAAACTCAAAATTTGAAAAAAGGAAAAGGAGAGGTAATACTTGTATAAATATGAACTTAGAATCGAAAATCTTGTTAGCACCAAATCGTAGAAGCAAACGACTTTTATCATTTGCAATTCTTAGTTAAAGATCGTTTCTTATTTTTGGTATCCTTTACCACAGTGCCACATGAAGTTGTCCAAGGTATCCGAAAACGTCATTTGATGACAAACTTCAAAACTTGGGCATGCAATATGCCATTTTTTCCCTGTCGTCTTCCTCTTTTTTCTATTGTTGGTCGAGAAGTAATTTTTGTTGTCGTTTTCATGATTGCTTTGGTCTAGTTGTTGTTGCCGGTGGTGCTTGCACTGATGGTGGTTATATCTATTATTTTTTTTGGCTTTGGTGGTGCTGCACACTTTTAGTCATCACCATGTCAGCGACGGCTTCGAGAGTTCAGCCCGAATCCAAACAATCAAAATGATATGCAAATATATGTAAGAGTACCGCTACGAAAAAGGCGTGGGTTAATTGTGACTTTATCATGCGGCAGCGGGGCAAACGAATCCGAGCCAAGGGAAAATCGCAATCGAAAGGAAAAAATCAAATTTATTACAAATTTAAGCATAGAGACCGCGAATCGAGCGAACGGCAAAACTGCGACGGCGACGGCGACGATGGCGATGCGGCGAGTTATAGATTTCGTCATACCGCCGTATCTTTTTGCCCATTCGAGACGTGAAAATTTGAAATAAACCTGTCAACGAACACCAACGCCAATCGACTCCGGTCCCTTGTGGATCTTGTGTGAACTCCGAACCCGCGAACCGCCCATTCGGTGGGTGGGCGGCGCCAAAACTAAGCCACCAAATCGCTTTGAATCACATAAAACACATTAACACGGGGGCAGCACTGGGAACGGAACTGTCGTTCCCATCGAGACGCCGCTAAATCCCAAGTTGCCGAACTCCAATGCCCTCCAGTTGACCAAAGCGTGCTAAATTCCATATGTGCACTTGAAAAAACTTGATAAGGTTGGCATCCAACTTTCTGTCTAATAAAACATCAACTGTCTTTTTGAATATTTCCAATTTATAGAACTTGAACTGAAATAAGTAAAAGTTTTTAGTGAAAAACAAAAAGTTTCAATGTGTCCTGTTTAGGGACAAAAATAGATTATTTTTTCGAAAATCGGTTTAGTTAGTTTTCAGTTTGCTAAAATGTTTTGAAGCTATCAAACATTAATTTCATAATGATTAAATTTAAACAAATTTTATGATTGTTATTCTCCTTATTAAACATTTTTAGATGATATAATTACTTTTTCAATAACTCCAGTGACACTAGTTCAATAAATAAATTATAAGGAATGTTTTTATTATGATTTCAAAGCTCACATTTCCGACAGTGTATCAAAACCAAACAACGGTATAGCCGAGTCAGATCGAAAGTCAGCGGAACACATGCATCTGTGAACTAGTGATCGAGTTGCGGATCGCAGATGGATCTCAGGCACACAGTTCCTGTTTGTAGAGCAGTCGAAAGCCGCGACCCACATATTCGGCGTCGGTGCGAAAGGGTAGGATGATGGGACCTGCGGCGGTGTCCCTCACGGTGGCGTGCATGGTGAAATCTTCGGTGTCCCGTCCGTCATTGAACCGCTCCCCGCAAAGCGGCACCGAGTTGATGGCTATAAAGTCATCTGGGCAGTTGAAGATCCCCGCTCCAGCCTGCCCATCGGCGATCACATCGTTTTCGCCTGTCAAAGAGTGCAAAAATAAATATTTGTTTGAAATTAATTCAAAAGATACAACGGAATAAGTTAGTACCTTCATCTTTGTTGACTATTTGAAAGTCTGGCTGATCGCCTCCAAATTGCTCGGTATTATAGGCCACACTGCAAACGTTCTTTAATCGGTTTAGGCATATAGCATAGTTAAGGTTGTTCTAAATAAATAAAATCTTTTTAAATAAGTTCATAAATATATACCAGTTAATCATACAAAATATGTAGCTTCTCGGTTGTCCACAATCGAACCATCTGTATCGTAATTGAATGATTTTACGATACCCTCGGCTTCAGTGAAATATTGCAGGCAATTATTGGGAGATAAGTCGTCATCCAGCTGAGTGACTTTGATATTGAAGGAACGTCCACCTCCCGAGACTTTCATAAACACAGAAAGATATACTTTGCTCTCGTTGGAATCGCCAACGTGGATATAAACTGAAATGTAATGAGTATTATTTAGAAACTTAACTCAGCCTACATCTACTAACTATGCTGTCCTGTGTTGATGCCACACAAAATGGGAATCTGGAAATTGGTATTGTGCCCCGACACTATAAACTGATCATCTAGGCAATCACCATTGGTGGGACGGCTTAGCTGGAGATCAGGAGGGAAAATCAATTAGAGTAAGGAGTACACATATGGAATTAGAACTCCCACCTCGAACATCTGAAAATCCAGTCTCATTTGCTGCACTCCCTTCTTCACATTGATTATGAGTACACAAATCATCATTTCCCTTACAGCATTCGGATAGTTGGGGCTCTCGAAGTAAAGGATCTGCTGGCTGGTGACATCGCCACATCCATTGACGACTGTTGAGGTGAAAGAAGATCGGTGTTAGATCGCTTGTAAATCAGTGGATCAGTGGACTTTCACTCACACACACAACATACACCCACGCCCTCGGCACAACTCTCGGTGGGAATCCCCCCGAGGCTCTTGCACTCGAACTCGTGGTAGCAGACGCCCTCCATGCTCCGGATGTCCCCCATGGACACACTGCACCTCGTATTGGGGAACTTGATCACCTCGAACAGGCTGAGGAAGCCCTTGCCCTTCGGTCGCGGTGCATTCGGTTTCTTTAGGATTAGATTCGCCTCGATGGGCGAGCCAAAGAGGAAGTTCTTCAGCGTCTGTTGGGGCTGCATGATGGAGGTGTTCGTGGTGGGTGGCGGCGTGGGCACTGGCGGCCTCATCGAGGGTTTTGCACTTGGCCTAGGACTGGGCATCATCCCCGGCGAGCCACTCGGAGTGGGCATCATCATCATCGGATCCGTGGCTGGTGGTGGTGAGGGTTCCTAAAAAAGGGATTAAAACAAGATACTAATATTTATATAAACAGAAGATTAATGGTTTACTTCATCGGTTTAAACCATTATTATCTAAAATATTTTAATGACTTTTATGGTAAATTTATGAGAAATGCCACTCCTTTGGTAACCTTTTTTAATACAAAGGTCATGGTTGATTTCGTTGTAGTTCGTCTTAATAAGTTTTAATCTACTTTTTCTTAAAAAATCTTTGGAGCATATGACTTTTCCATACATTACCAAAATTGGATTATTTATTTTGAAGCAAACTTCAACCTAAAGTTGGGGTCAAAGACATTTTAATAGAGATTTTATTTATGTTTTAATTGAAGCTAAATTCACTTTCACACAAACTGATATTTTGGGGACTCTAACAACACAGCATATTTAAACCCTAGAGGTTATTAGAGTTCAATATTTTCTATAAGATGATTTTATGGTTTTTAAAGAAGAGCCACCACATAAGCTTCAATAAATATCACTTATTACCTCTGTGGGTGCTGATGTGGTACGCATGGGTATCGTTGGCTCCGGTTCCTCGGGCTCCGTGGGAGCTGGTTCAGTGGGTGGTGTTCCAGGAGTTGGCATGGGCATTGGTGCCTCCGTCATACCACCGTCTCCCATTGGATCCATGCCCCCGCCATCACCACCTTCCTGTTGGGCCAGTTTGTGGAGGTGGAAGCCCGGCTGAAAGCGCATGGTGTACTGGAATCCAACGCCCTCCATTATCATGCCACCGGGTCGCAAGGAATGCGACTGGCCACGCCTACTTCTGCGGAGATCGCCCATTGTCACAAATTCTGATGCGTTCCCATCGGCCACGCCCACATAATAGAGCGTCAAAACGAAAGCGCTTATCAACGCATCGGAACGCTTTGACAACATTATTAACGGAAATTCACGCGGCGACTGTGGCAGATGTTGCACTTGCAACAGAAATTGCTGCTGTCGCATGTTGCTGCTGCAGCTGCAGTTGCTGCTGCTCGTGTTGCATCTTTCTTTGGCTTTATTAGAGCATTAATTGTCGCCTTTCCAGCTTTTTTCAACCTTCACTTTTGCAGCAACAATCAAACAACAAAGTCACGCTACTCTGATTGCTCTTGTGATGTTGCTGTTGTTAATGTTGTAGTTGCTGCTGTTGTTGTTGCTGCTGTGAGTGGAGTTGCTGTGGGTAACAGGGTAAATGTTATTTGAGGTATTTCAGTAAGCTCTTTCGGAATTTGTGTTAATTTTAAATGAGAAATTAAAAGGCTTGAGTGCTGAAAGTCGTAAAATAGTATGGAAAAACTCTTGCGAAATGCACACTTCATTAGCAGTCGACCCATCGATGTCAGAGATTTGTGAAACCAATTCAAATGGTAACGAGAATATCGAATTGCGGCAACGATCTATAAATTAAGATAGTGCATACCCGACCATCACTGCGATTGAAATAAAACTTTCATAATTAATAATGCCAAACGACAGCCATTGCAATCACCAATCGATTATGCAAATGAGGTCGATGATGTCTCATATTTGCAAACACGGAATGCAATGCTTCGAAATTGAAATCGATTCAATTGCAAAATCGAAGAGCACTCGACGTGAGATGAAAATCGAAAACATTTAGCAGCTTTTTATGCATCAGCATCTTACTGCAACGTAATGATGATGATCATCAGCGGATTGCGGGATGATCGGAGTACTTTTGCAGCCACATGCATCATGAGCAACAAGGTTAAAAATTGTTAATTGCTGCTGCGACGAACGTCAAACGCCAGCAACTCGCCAATTGGTATTATTATGCACCGCAGCAACCATTTGGCGTTGGCGTCTCCAGTTGCAAAAAATAACTATAAATAATTGCGCACTTGACAAATAAAGCTGCGGAGCCTGTCTATGGAAAATATGATGAGCCAGTCAGGTAAAAAAAAAACTGAAATGCTTTTTTTCGTTGAATGCAGATACATTTGACGCGACAATGCGGGCGTTTAGTTTTAAAGATTATCATTATGAGTGGTTACTTTTAATGAGCGACTGGGGCTGTTCGAGGGGCGTATTTGGAATTTCGTGATTGATGCTCAACGTTTTCGAAATGAATTTGCAATTAATCATGAACGCGGCTACAGCTTCCATTTACTTGGCAAACGCGTCTAATCTTTTATTGGCATGCAGATGCTTTGGGTTTTAGTGCTATAATTTGCATAAGTTGTAAGGCTTAAAAAATATATTCGATCAGCTAAATTTAATGCGATTTACAGGTGGCCTCGAACTTATATTTAACCAAGGAAAAATATTTGCACAAATATACGTACAAAAATATATAAACGTAGCTATATTTTTGTGATTAAAAGCGTCTAAAGTCTATGAAAAGATCATTAATTATTTTCCAAGATTTGTTTCTTTATTCAAATATCCATAATATCAATTTAATATCCAAATCTGCCTACGTTACGTTTAATCTTATTTGCCAATATTTATTTTCGATTACTGCTAAGAATGGTGGTAAGAATCCCCTTCTCCGATTATCTTCACTTGCCATGCCGTCGAGCTTAGTAAACTCCATGTGTTTGCATAGCACTCCAGCTTCTGCAACATCTCCGACATAAAATCCAACTCCATCCACACATCAACCCATCAGCAACTGAAAAGTCTGCCCCGCAGTCTGCTTGATTCACAGACAAACCAAAGCAAAGAAAGGCAAACCAATGCTAAAACCAAAACCAAAACCAAACCAAAACGAACCCAACCCAATCAAAGCACACGTACAGACAATTCCCGTCCATTAATTGAATCAAATCGAACGTTACGCATGCGTCATGGCGAAATGACAAAGGGAGCCGCCAGCACCGCCACCGCACCACCAAAACCACTGGGAAAACCACTGGTAGAGTGGCTCACACATGCAGATGATGACGACAACGGTGATGGTGATTCTTCCCGCCTAGACAGCCCCTCCAAGTCCCCACCCAATCTCCCTCAAAAGCCTTGTGTACACAATATTGTTATAGCTATTACTTCACGTTATGTTATGTTGTGTATTTGTACTGGGCAAAGTGGAAATCGCAGTTGGAGCGAAACTTCTGGAACTCCTGAAAAGTGGAGCGGGAGGAGCCGAGAGTTGGGAGGCGGTGGAGCAGGAGTGGCGACCAAATCAAACTGCCCGACCATCGCGAGTAGTGGGTAAAGCCCACTTAATTGACGTTTAGTGGACACTCGAATGCAAATGCTGCAGCGGCTAAAAAGTTCCAAAGGACACACTGAGGAATATATAGACTGATAAAATGGTCATTGAAGGTCATTTTCGAAGTAATCTCAGAATTAAAACAAACAGCAAGTTCTTATGTTTAATTTTGACCATAACACAAATAATTTTTTTAATTGATTTCCCCTATATTCTAATCATTTTAATATTTTAAATATTTCGGAAGGTTTCAAACTTGGTCCTAAAAAGTTAACGATAAGATTATCGTTATTTCTCTTTCCAACATATCGTTTATAATTATTTATTTTTTCTATAATAGAATTATAGTTATTTTCAAACCGATTTCCTTTGTAAAAAAATTAAATAACTACGAAATCACATTAGTTCTTTTTAAATTTTAGTCATTTAAAAGTTATGAGATTTTTTGATCATATGATAAATACATTGGTTTTACTTTCTGAACTATATTGCTGAGCATGTATCAAAGATCAAATAAAAAATTAAAACTTGTATGCCTTGGTTAAAAAGGTATTTATTTTTCCGCAGTGCATCGATTGTTGGCAGCGAGTGTCAGCCAGGTGGAAGCTGCGTGGATTCGGCGGGCGCGATTCTCATCAGTGCTATAAGTAGTTTTCCTTTTCGAACTCCAACTCAGATGTGGATGGGGATGTGGATGTGTATGTTGATGCGGAGTTCTGTGACTCGGGCCACATTCTAATGCCCCCTCTTGGCCCAATCGCCGCCCAATGATGACGTTGATAATGAGCACGTTGCCCAGTTGCCATTCTTGCTCATGATTTCTGAAGATGCGACTGCAGCAAAAGCGGCAGCAGAAGTAGCCAAAGCCAGACATCATTACAATATAATTGATGGGTTATAGCCGGCTAACGGTAAAGCCAAAATGTTTCCTTTTTTACTCATTCGAGTATTTTTCGGAGGACGGGAGATGTGGAAGCCAGTTTTTGGTTTGGAAATTATCATTGTTCCGCCTGACAGCTCAGAAGTTGTGCGTATGGGCTTAAAGTATGAATATGGAAAATGGTTATAATGCCGCCAAATCGGGTGGGTAATGTGAGCGGTTGACATAGAAAACTACTTAGGATTGGATGGCAAGGAGAGGACTGGGAGGACTTGGATGGAAGCTTCTTGGGACGTAAGCCAACGGGTCAATAAAGTAAGAATTCATTGTTATAAGACATCGGATATAACCAGTTTTCAAAACAGGTGGCAAAATATGCGGAGTTAAAGTAAAATTATTGCACAGATTTATTGCGAATAAATTTGTTATTAAAAAATGTTTACACGGATTAATTGCGCATAAATTAGAAATCGTTATCATAACAATTTTTTTTTTTGTAGGAAAGTTTATATCTTTTGCGTTTGAATAATATATAGTTATACGAATAATAATATTTACAATGATTTTATTGTCTGTTAATTTATGAGTTCATTTGGGTTCATATATTTATTGTGCTTTCGCTCTGGTTTCAAGTTCATATATCAATTCCCATCGCAATTCAATGTCGAAAATCATAACAAAAACCCAACGAGAACCTTCTTCTACATGCCAAATCAACCAATCGATACGCCATCAATTTTTTTGCATCATTAAAAGAAAAACCCTATTCATTTCAATGTCATTTGGAGAAGGAGCAAAAAGCAAAAGGCCAAGAGCATTGAAAGTGTATCTTAAAAAACGTATCAGTATTTGTATCTGTAGCATATCGAATCGAAATCGAGGCGTTTAAGCAAAAACACCTAAAATTACAGCAAAACATTTGCGGTTACCGCATTTTTGTTTATGCGTTTTCCCTTTTGTTTTTGCCGTGGTCTTAGCCATAATGCCACCTAAACCGCAGCTGTGTCGGCTATTTTTTTTCCTTTCTTGTCTTCAGATACGCTGCACGCACCACAATGGAGATGTGAATGAGGATGAGGACCTCGGCGGAGAAGGGATCAGCGGAAAGGATCCACTAAGATGCGGAAAAGGAGAGGTGGAGGCCAGAAAGGTAAACTGCATTCGATCGGGTTGGTGGCCATAAATGGTGCGTTAATTAAATGCTTTATTAACATAATGAAATGCAGCAGGGTTTGGCATAGGAGGCACAACCTGATCCCTGAAAGGTTGAATAAATTTAGATACGATTCTTAAGTACTTATCCTGCAATTAAAAATGTTTATTTATACTTTAATCAGTAAAAATTTTTAATTAAAATTAACTTGATTTGAATGAAAAACAAATTAAGGAGATAGCATTATGTTAATTGTGGATTTTGAAATGAGTACAAAGCTGTAATTTTGATAAGTTTTAACAGCTCTTATTAAATATTGTTAATACAAAATAAAATGGAAAGGGAAAGCAAAATTATTATATGCTTTTAGAACTAAAATGTATTAATCCATTTTTTATATTTATCCCAGCAGCACTAAACAAAATTGAACTTCTGCAAATTGTAGGTTAGGGCAAGCATAAAAAGGTTTTAAATTCAAAGTAGCGCTCCTCGAAGTGCTTCTTGGCCAACACCGATACTTTGGGCTAATCTTCAACGGTCATTTAGCCTTGGGTCGTTGGTTATTTCGTTTCTGCTCCGCTTTTCGAAGCGGGCCATGCGAAATTAGGACCGAAAAAGGATGCGAGGCGGAAGCTTGGCCAACTCTGGATTGCTGGATTGTTGGCCAGATTGTTACCGTTGCCTTT